CGCGGCCGCCCCTCCCGTCCCGGCCCGTCCCGTCCCGTCCCCTCGCGGGGAAGAGGCGCTGGGAGCTCGCAAAGCCATGGAGAAGCGCACCAAAATGCCGAAGCTCGCTGCCGCCGCCGCCCCGGAGGGAGGAACGCGGCACCAGGGCTTGTTGGATAAAGACAGCGTGAGCGGCCGCCTGGGCGGGAGGTGGCGGTGGTGGTCGTTAAGCTGGGGACGGCGGCTCTGTGGGAAAGGGAAGGGGGGTTGAGGGCGGCGGTAACGGCCACAACGGCGGCGCCGCGCGCCTGATCACGTGGCCCTGGCGCGGGGAGGGCGGCGGCCTCGCGCTCCGCCGTCGTCCTCGCCCTGAGGCGGTGGCGGCCCGGGACTGCGGCCCTTCGGCTGGCGAGGGACAGAGGGAGGGGGCTTGGGTCCTTCGGAAGGACGGTACGGCGCCTGGAAGGACGCGGGGGCTCGGCGTGTGGTGAAGAGGTGAGCGGGATCGTGTGAGAGCTTGTGTGGGAAACGCTGTCCACAGCGGGTTCGCCTCCGGTTCGGGATAGCTGGTCCCCTCTGTACCGGGCCGGTGTGCCGCCTCAGGCGTGGGGAGGCAAAGCTTGTGAGAGGCTTGTAAAAGGGAGGCAAGGGTCGTCCTCCCTTTGGTGGTGCAGGCTTTCCGACTTGGGGTGCTACTGTAAGTCCTCTGGGTTAGGGGGTGTGCCCTCTTTTGACGAAATAAACAAGAACTCTTTCTTTAAAACAGTTATTGGATGTTCTACCAGACCCGTTAACAAACGGCGTTTCCTTCAAATGGCAAAAGCTTTCTTCTCTCAGCATACCTAGTTCCATATGTCCAAGGTTAAGCCAACGTAGCAGAGTAAGAACAGGCTTTTGTACAGTCAAATGCAAAGTCAGTTCTTGTATTTTTGAGAGATTCTTTCACAAAGGATGCAAATATTATACAGAAATGGAGTTGTAACATTGCGCTAAAACTTGCAATCAACAGTATTTGTGTTGTGAAATACAGAACTAGGTTTATTTATTAGCTGTTTGTGTAGAAATACCAGTAAGGTTTTTGGTTGCCTCATCAGTAAATGGCTTCTTGCACATGAGGAAAGGCTTATGAAAACTTCTGTCGCTAATAATAGCATTTAAACCTGTAAGTAACGGCATTGTTAGAAGTCGTGTGCTATAGACGTGAATTTTCTTCCATCGTTAATGGTACAGGCTGAAAGTGGCATGATGCATGCTGAAACATGTTAGCAAAGAATTGCTGTTCGGTTGCGGCCTTTTTCACAGGTTCATTTCCACTGACGTGGATTGGGATGCTCATGTGAGCAGCTCAGCTGGCAGACTTGAGGTGGTTTTTATCCTGTTAGGAGACCTGTGATGAGCAGGGAGGGGCTATGGTCTTTATAGATCTGAGTTTCAGTTAGAAGATAATGAGCGTCCACGGCCTAAGTGCAAATGTGTTTGCTCCTTGCATTTTTAGTGTAGTGTAAGTACTATTCAGAGTTTGCATTGTTGGCATGGTATCAACAAACACCTGCAGCCAATTTGCGCTAGGGCTGCCAATGTCACTGGTTTATAACAGAATTATCTAACAGTAAGGAACCAGAGGAATGACGTAGGTCATATCACAGTGTTGACAGGGCTAATGTGTAGACAATTTCATAGAGAAGAAACTGCACTGCTTCCTTTATTCTCAAACTCCTCTGACTGAAGGATTTGTGAGCCCCTGAGCAGGGCATCTTTTCAAATAATTCTCACTAGACTTTTATATCGTCCATAAGTGTATGATTTTTTTTCTCTACTGCTTAGTGTAAGCCTTACACTGTGGTATTTTATCACTTTTGTGCTCTTTTGTGCTCTCCTGAGAAGGAACTGGTGATTGATTTTTCTCTCACCCAAGTTCTAGCTGTAGTCAGGAAGTGGAGCAAGGGACAGGAGAGTCAGCAAAACTTGAATGTGGTTAGTTAGGAGGTAGCTGGTATGGAACACCACTGTCTGTAGCGTTTGTTGTGATCTCATTGGTTCCACGTGCTTTTCTGTCTTGTTATCATTTTACAGTTCTGTTTTAAGCCAGCCATGGAGGACAGCAGGGGACATCTTTTGTGTGCATCATCAGACTTGCTGGCATTCATAGAGAGCCAAATTTTGTTATGTGTGTTGAAGAGAATGATAGTATGCAAGCTGGGTGGGGAGAAAACTTGGGCCTTCAGAGTTCTGACGACAAATAAAAAGAAGTACTACTGGTGTTAATTTCCAAGTAAAATTACTAAGCTTGCAGATTGGAGCATATTTTTCCCTTTTTTTAATTAATGAGCAAATTAAGCTATTAATACATAAGACATTTGTTTAGTAGCTTCACAAGGAATGAGGACAAGTAGAATTACGCAGTAAATGAGCTGAGCATATATTTTGAGTTTGTGTAGGCTGTTTTAATGAAAAGCTTGAAGTTGTGGTTAACAGACTTGGACACATATGTCAGTATCTGTGTGTGTTTTTACTTGGAAAATGGTGTGGATTCAGAGTGCTAGTATGGTGTGTCTGATCGACTGAGTTTAAATGCAAACTTAGAATCAACATAGAATCGTTTCATTTGGATTTTGGTGGAAAAGAAAATAAATTGAGTGAAAGTTAACTACTGTTCTCTCTTTTTCACTCAAAGCAGTAGTGTCAAAACAGCCAGAAGAAAAGATACCCATTTTCTAGCTTTTCTGCTTTTTTCATAACGTATTCCTAGGCTAACTGCTTTTTTCCTCTTAACTGTACACTGTAAATTATTATTTAGAGACTGTTAAATGCTAAAATATTGGGGTGTGATGTGGACTTTTTTTATAATTTTGCACAGATGAAAGGAAAAAGGACACAATCAAATTACGAAGCTCTAGGTACAGCTCCAATGGAAGAAGAGTGTTTTAGTGATTCAATGAAAACTAAGCTATTGTCATTCAAAGCTAATAGGGCGAAGATAAGATATGCTAATACGTACAGACTGGAGTCACATAATAAATTTTGGGATTATTTAGTAAGAGACAAAGCTCAAGCAATACTAACGGTATAGTATTTTTTTTAAACTAATTGACTGATTTTATTGCAAAAGTAGCTTGTCTTCAAAGATTGTATTAGCGGAACAGTGTAAGTTGTATAAACTAAACATACGCATAAGTCTTTGCAGACTTCAAGTTTTGGCACACAAATGTAATGTGAACGTGCTCCAGTTTGCAAAGTGCAGGCAGCCTTCTAGGTCACCACTGAGCACGTGCTTTTAAGATGGAGCTGAAGCTTCTTAAACTCTTACCCATTTCTAAATCAAATTGAGCTGTAGCACAGTTAAAGTACCCTAATCTGCAAAATATCCAGTTATCCGAAGATCCTGACGTTGAATTTGTGGAATTCTACTCCTTCAGTTAGTTCTGTGAATATCACATGACCTACACAAGAAATACACTTGATGTCCTTGACAGTCTGACTGCCACATACAAAAATTAAGCAAAAACCAAGGAGAACAATCTGTTGAGATAATATGTAGCTGTTAGTGATACCTTGAATAGTTACAACCAACTCTTGTAATTCTGCCTTCTGGAAGACATGCCTGGGATATTTGGCACAGGTGTTTGTATCACTGTTTTCCAGTGAACTGAGCTCAAATGAC